CGCCCCCCCCCCCCCCCACCCCCTGAGATGACCTGCGGTTTTCTAATGCAACTGGTATTCTGCAAAAAAAAAAACTATGTGGTTTATCGGTGTTGAAGTAGAGCGAGAGACGAGTGCACCCCCTCCTAAGAAAAGATCCTAGATCCGCCCCTGTAGTGGAGCTCTCCTTTAACTTTTTTAGCCTGGAATAGGACTGCTTGCATTCTTGGTGAAAGATGATCGTAAATTCTGACCAAAGACAATAAAGACCCTTCTGGTAGACCAACCGCAGCTGGGGTCACATCGTTAATTTCTTTCCGAAGAGACATTAGAGATTCCTTAACCAGCCGTCTCACGAATCTGCAGACTAAAGGCTTTGGATTTCCGGCGTTGTTTCTTTGAGGGACATGATGGGCAGTGTCAATATCTGGCACCACCCACTGGCTATAGCAAAGAACAAATAACACCAACAGAATCACAGTAAACCACCCACTGGCTATAACAAATAATGCCAATAGAATCGACTTAAGCCACCCACTGGCTAAAACAAATAATCGTAAAGAAGTCTGCATAAGCCACCCACTGGCTACCTGAAGGCCACCCACTGACCTCAGACTATCCGATGCCATCAACTCACTGAAAAAAGAAACACTAGAAAATTATAAAGGTACCCAAAAAACATAAAACACTTACCATACTAAGCAGATGAACACTGAGAGCACCAACCTTGATCGTAAGTGCAAAAACCAATAATAAAAAACCGCGCAGAACTGAAATTAATACGAACAGCCCAAACCCTAAAATTAAGATTCTCTCTGCAAAAAACACCAGAGCTGTGGCGACCCATGCAAAAAGTCGTCCTCAAGGGGGGCAGGTCCACCAAATCTTCAACAAAATGAGCCAGATGAGAACCGTCCGTTGTAAGTAAAGGCCAAAATGGAGCAGCAAGTCAAAGCGGAGCGATCAAAGTACCTTGTGGGCAGCAAGACCGCATGTGCCTCAGAGTCCGCGGAACAAGATAGATAGATAGATAGATAACTTTATTTAAACATGGTTAAAATTCCTTCAGCATGTACAAAAAATCTAAGATCTATTATACCTAACTAAACTAACTCTGATTAAAAATATATTCATAAAATTTTAACTACCTAGCTATTTACAAATAAAAGCTGCTTTTCAAGGATGCCGTGTAAAACTGTATTAATGTATGATCTCATTCAAAACTGTTGCGACACAGTTTGCGTTTAAAATCATGTAAAGAATCTGCAGATCTTAAATCATGGGATAGGCTGTTCCACAGCTTAGCTCCGCTATAGGAGAAACTTTTCTTTAAATAATTGGTACGGGGCAGTGGAAGGACTAATTTATTTTCAGTATTCCTCAATCGATAAGAAGTTATTTCGTCACGAGATACAAATTTAGATGTTAGATAGTCGGGAGTCATCCCATGTACGGTTTTATACATCATAATAGCCGTCGATACTTGTCTTTGGTGTTTAAGCTTACGCCAACCCAGTGCCAGGAACAAATCGTCCACATTACAATCAGAATTAGCGGACATTAGAATACGGGCTGCACGATTTTGGAGCCTCTGCAGCTTATCGGAAAGACCAATGCCGCAGTTGCTCCATACGACATTACAGTAATCAAAATGCGGTTGAATTAAACTGTCGTAAACATTAATTAATACATTAAAAGGAATAAGATGTCGTATTCTTTTAATTGCACCCAAAGCAGAAGCAATCTTTTTACAAATACTCTGTATGTGGCATTCCCAGCTTAAGTTTTGGTCAATATGCACTCCAAGAGATTTTGCCGTTGACACTTGCATCACGGGATGGTCGTTTATCATAAAAGAAGGAGTTTCAGAAAGCTTTGATAGCTTCTGCCTCGACCCAACTAACATAAACTCAGTTTTAGTCAAGTTAAGGGTCAGTTTGTTAGCCGATAGCCATATATACACCTTGTTTAAATCGTCGTTAACGCAGTCATTTATGAGTTTTAAATCTGCGCTGGCATAGGTTAGGCTGGTGTCATCGGCATACATTCTAGGTTGTGAAAAATGCAAGCAATTAGGTAGGTCATTAATATACAGTAAAAACAATAAAGGTCCAAGAATTGTTCCCTGGGGAACACCACATGTAACTAATTTTGGGTTTGACATTGAGCAATTAATTTGGCAAGTTTGGGTACGATTGTTTAAATACGAAGTAAACCATTCGTGACAGGAACCGCGTAATCCATAATATTGTAATTTCGTTAATAAGATATGATGATCAACTGTGTCGAAAGCCTTTTTTAAGTCTAAGAAGACAACGGCATTGACAAGGCCACGATCAACGTTCACTGCCCAGCTATCGGTAGCTTCGAGTAATGCGGTTACAGTAGAATGTAAAGAACGAAAACCAGATTGGTAACGGGATAGAATACGATTCTCAGTAAGATAGTGATACAACTGGTCGTAGACTACCCGTTCAAATACTTTGGCCACGACTGGGATCACCGATATTGGTCGATAATTGGTGGGATCATTTCGTTTACCAGAATTTTTATACAATGGAGTAACCCTAGCCGACTTCCACTCATCGGGAAAAATTCCTGTCAACAGTGATTGATTAAATATTAAAGTAAGAGACTCGGCAATTAGATCAGGGCACTCCCTTAATAATTTAGCTGATATACTATCTAATCCAGTGGCCTTTGATTTACAAAGTTTTGAAAGGAGAGAATAAATATGAGCAGATGTTATTTCCTTGAAGACAAACTCCTTAGAAGTTCCACAAAGAAACTCTTTGTAGGTGGTATCAACATTCGAAACATTTCGACTAAGCCTTGGTCCAATCTCAATGAAGAAAGTGTTCAACAATTCAGCAACTTCTGCTTGATTGCTCGATTTTAGTCCCTGATATTGTATTTCATTTATTATTGTTTTATTAGATTTGCGGGAAGTCAATTCATTGATGGTCTTCCAGGTCTTACGTTGATCACCGGCATAATTATTAAAAGAATTATTATAATAGGCCTTTTTAGCAGCCTTGATTTCCTGATTTACTTTATTTTTGACCTTCCGGAATCGATTCCAAGAGGACGCATCCTTAGTTTTAACAGCTTTTTTCTTTAGCCGGTTTCTGAAATTCATTCGTTTTTTCAAATTTGTGGTAATCCAAGGAGACTTGGTGGGACGGGTGCGTTTAGTTTTCACAGGGGCGTGCTTATCACAAACACTTAGGAATAATTCTTTCCATTTTTTCCACATGTCATTGGGGTCGTACAGTTCTTTAATATCGTCCCACGGTTGCGTCGAAACATCATTACGGAAATTATTGCTGTTGAAGTGTTTAAATTGTCTATAGCTGATCAAATTGATTCCTTTAGAAACAGGCGGGATTGAAATTTTACGGTACGCGTAAACAAGACTGTGATCGCTTATACCCACGTGTGTCACCCCAGAACAGAGAATATTGACTTGGTGACTGGTGAAAATAAGATCAATTAGGTTACTTGTTGAGGGTGTGACTCGAGTAAGGTGAGGTGGCGGACAAACCCAGTTGTTGTCGAAGTCCCACGACCTTGTAAAGGTGTCCATAGCTTCACAGTAACGATTCCAAAACCTGGAATCTAGCCAATAAATGGTTATGCTCGTCAGTAAAACGATCAATAGAGTGAAGCCCCCATTTCAAGTCTGAAAAGCGAAAAATGTGAGGGCTAACAGACCAGTCATTAAAATCAACAATACGGATTAAATAATCTGCTTGCTCATTACTGGATCTGGGTACCCATTCGGGCTCAATAGAAATGCCATGATGAACGCAAATCCCAAAAATACGCTCAGTTTCGCTTTGCAAACCAGACTTCCTGCTACCGACATCAATAATACGCGCAACATTCTGGTTGTCCGTGTACCATTTGACACATAATCCTGCAAGCTTAGGCGCAAAAGATTGCAAAACTTTTCTAACGGCCAAAATCTCACGCATAGTGGAACTTTCCTTTGCTAAATCAGCCGACCAAACACCTTGCGCGGCCACCTGGGGCCCAAGTTCAACATGTAATCGCCGTATCCGGTGTCACTAGCATCCGAATAGGCAACTCTGACTGCACTGGATTTAAACCAAATACGACGGCCATTGAGATGATCTAAATTGGATTGCCAAAAAACTAATTCCTTCACAACCGAATCTTCCAGATAAAAATTAGAAAACCAGGAATTCTGAGCTGAAATCTGGGCGTACATGGCACGAGACATTAAACGCACAATGTTTCCAATAGCCAAAAACATAGAGTTCAACTGACCAGCAACGCTAGCTAGATCCTTAGCGTTAACAAAACGCAGAGCAAGGATACGTGAAATACTCTCCTGCAACTTCGTAATATTCGGAAGAGGAACGGTGATGAAATTAAAACTGAAATCTAGATGGAAACCAAGCCAGGTACCGACTTGAGACGGCTCCCACACTCATTTTTGAAGGTTCACAAAGAAATCCGCAGAGTCCAAATCAGAACGACATAGACGACTATGGACCAGGCAACTAGCGTAATCGGGGCTCCCGCCGATACCGTCGTCCAAAAAAGTAACAACACGACGCCCAAGACCGCGCCAGTAATTAACGAGCGAACGCACTGTTTTAGTGAAAATGTACGGCGCGGAGGACGTTCCAAAAGGCAAAACAGTAAAAACGAAGTGCTTAACAACAGAGCCAAAATTCCAAGAAAAACCCAGATACTGGCGATGATCTGGAAAAATTTCGACGTGATGGTAACCAGATTTGAGATCAAAGGTGAAGAAAAAATAGCCTGACTGAAACAAATCAAATACAGTGCGAATATCTTCCAACCGAACAGACTGCTTCCAAATAAAATTCTGTTTAAATACGACACTGAGGTCCAAAATAAGCCTGCATTTCCCACTGGACTGCTGCACAACGAGCAGAGGATTGATAAACTTTGGTGGATTAAGAACTTCCTTAACACAACCACGCTCAGTTAACTCTGAAATGGCCTCGTGAACAAAATCTTTAAACTTGAACGCCGAAGATCTATTGAGAATAACAAAATTCTCAGGCAAATCAAAGAAAGGAATTCTGTAGCCTTCAACAATAGTGTTAATGATAAAGTCGGAGGGGCGAATGGAATTGGACCAACAATCAACGTGTTCCCTGAGGGAGACAACTTTAAACAAACAAGAATCTGAAGACTTTTCCAAATCAAAAACATCACTTGGTCGACTTATCTGATCTTCCTGAAGAAATGAGATTGGGGCAGTTGTTTCTCCAGTGTCCTTCCGATCCACAAGCAAAGCAGGTTCCTCTCCTAAACTGAGATCTGGGCAGAAATGCGGCTTGTCGAAACTGAAAGGGCTGCAGTCGAAAGGCCTTGACAGCGTCGTCAGCGCTAAGGCGTGATTTAGAAACATGAGAAAAAGAAGCATGATTAGATTTGTAATTAGCAGAACCCGCTTTAACCTGCGATTTCTCTCTTTTAGAGTCAAGGGCCTTCTTTGCCGATTTTTCAGCTTTAGAAATACGGCGTTCGTTCTCAGGAGTATCCGCCAAGTCGTCAGTAACGTAAGCCGAAACCGTGGCCCAACCACACTCGGATCGATCGGCCAGCTTAATTAATTTTTGACGTTCAGACTAAAGCTTCTTACCCTCTTCCGGCTCTTTTTTTCGCCTTATCCAACATTTTTTTGTCAATGGCGGAGATAGTTGAATCAAATCTGGCTTGCACTGACTGGTTCAACTTGAACTGTTTCTCGTTTCCCACTTTTTTAATTTCCACTTAATGGAATTATCTTCTTTGACTCTTTTAACGACAGAACTTGAGCACTCCTCTTGATCTTCAGAAATAGATCTCTCGAGCTCTTGTAATTTCGAATCAGCACGTTCTAAGATCGCGCCTTGAGATTCTGCTAAAAGCTGGGCAAGTTCCTCCTTGTTCATAGTGAATGACTCGAACGCTGGAACAGCAAGACGGAGATGAAAGACAAAACCAGCACGCCCAAATATATACCCCTACTAATTACCCACATACCAGCGCACACGCCTAAACAAACATAAGATACCGATGAGAGCATATTTTGCTGATAATTACCAAGTCAAACGCAGGAAAATACTATTCTCCTCAAACGATTTTTAAATCCCTCGCGAGCGTGCGCGACCTGGCTTTGCCCCAAAAGAGGGACCAAGCCTTTCGTTTCGGAGTCACGTGACTTGACCGTAGGAGCGTACAGACTTTCATGCGTACAGACTCTGGGGAAAGAGGCGGGAACTCTCCAGAAAATCATAGGGGAGTGCAGAGTCTTAGGAATGCAGTCTGTGATGGCGGTTTGGGCAAAAAATGGTATTGGCCAACGTCGCCTACCAGCGAAATGCTGTACAATTCAGTATGTTTTTAACTTAACCTCAAAATCTTTCTTCTTTCTACAAGCGGCAAAACCATCCAATAAAAAGATAAACGCCTGCAATAGCCACGTATGATGCTTAATGACAGTTCGATGAAGCTTACATGTAATATATTAGTGTTCTTAAATTCAGCACAATCTCTCACTATTCATAAGAAAATTTTTAGCCTAACGTCGCAGAAAAAGTCTGGGCCGGAAAAAACAGGGGCCTTAAAAATTTCAGGGAGCGCCTGATTTAACAAGGCGTAATTGCAATTCTTCCTCTTTCAATGCAGAGAAAGAAATCGAATCCATATACTAAGCTCTGTATTTTTCTAGGTCTTTAAGCATAATTAAGGCCAACGAATAAAAAGGAGAAGAGATTCTCTTCCAAATTACCCAATGACTCAAACTTTATTCAATTTCATTTATTTTTTGCAGTGTCCAGTTCACGGAAGGCTTAGGCTTGAGAGTTGGCTGGGCCTACAAGAAATGAGACACCTGCGTGGTGATCGTAAGGGAGAATATCTCCCCTGCGATAAGCACTAAGAAGTGTCCCTGCATGAAAGCAAAATAGATTTCAGTTATTAGCAAATATTGGATAAGGCTGAGTATAATATGTATAGTGAGTTATACAATGAATTATACGGTCTGCCGAGCGGGAGGCCGCTGGTTCAAGTCCCGGCCTGACCAACACTCAGGGCAACCTTGTTCCCAGGGCTTTTCCCTTAAAAAATGGGTGGGAAAAGCCGTGGGGACGAAGTTGCGCTAAGGGTCCTTAAATAACTGAGGAGAAAGTGCTGCCTTTGTAAAGACATTCTGCAAACGGTTAGACTTTCTAGTCTTCTCGGATAAGGACGATAAACCGTAGGCCCCGTCTCACAACCCTTGCATATATAAATTCCGTGGGACGTTAAAGAACCCACACACTGTTCGTGAAGAGTAGGGGACGTAGTCCCCGGTGTGGTGGTCTATCTCTCATGGGGGGAGGGACTGTTACGGGCCCGCAGTAATTGAAGTCATGCTGTTGCGGTGACCCTGCCAATAAAATTACGCTGATCGACAAGGGTATGGCAATTTGACATAACAGGATTAAAAGACCCCATTGACAGGAGGTAATGAGTTGGCTATTTAACAAGCGTGGCAGAGGATTTGAACTCGGAACAAACGAGAACAAATCCAGCAATTAAGAGGCCGGAATTGAACGGGACGAGAACCCGGGACCGCCGGATTGCCAGTCTAACGCGCTAACTACTCGGTCACACTCCCTCCTTAATGAGGAGAAGAAGATGAAGTTTCCTATAATTAAAAGGATATTAAGTAAAATTTAGTGGGTAAGGTTCAACTGGGAACAAAAAGCTCAAAAGGTGTTAGAATGTCTTGGCCAACGAAGCTGTAGGAAGCTTAAGCAAAGACGACGGCACGGAAAACGTCTCTCAAAAAGTGAGTCCACGCTGTTTCAAAATTCACCATTCTTATTCCATGTTGTTTCAATTTATTCCAATCTTCTTTCTTGGCCGTTATTTCAAGTAAGCGCCCGAACTTTCTCCCCCTGCAGAGGAAGGAAACAAACTCAGCGGTCATGGCCAGTACCTTACGCATGCGCGCACCGATATATCCGGTAGTAGCATGAAAAAGGTGGACAACAAGTTCACTATTTCAAGCCAGACACTTAAGGTGATTGATAGTATTCCGGCCGTGAGATTACGTACAAAATTGTGACAAGGTTCAACCGTTTTGGACCATTGGATTGCTAATAAAGAAATAAAATTTACTGCAAAAACCGTGGACGAAGATCCTGCTAGATATAAACGTTGGATCTCTAGAAAAGAGATCCAGTCACCTAAAATATTAAGAACCAAAAACGAGAAGTCCAAAGACTACTGCAAAGCTGGTCAGAACAAAGTGTATTGCTTTTTCATAGCAATATTTCGGCTGGCCATACTAGCCTTCTTCAGGCTTACAGATGTAAACCTGAAGAAGGCTGGTATGGCCAGTCGAAATATTGTAACGAAAAAACATTAGATTGCTACATACATATTTTGAAATTATGAATGACCACTAGGGGGAACACCCTTTATTCCTTTTTACTACAGTTTTTATACTGATTTGAATAATTATGCCTTGGACTTAGTTTTCACTTAATAACCGTTAACATTCAAAAGCTCTTTTTGCACAGATACCACTTTGAATTTGTCAGAATGACTGTGACTGTGAATTTAACCAGGTAAAGGGGTATTATCATGCGGATAGAGACAGAATTTGGAGAGGATCGAAACTGAGTACAGTTCGAGAAAGAAGTGATATTATAATCACAGACCAAATAGGTCTTTTTACTACAGTTTTTATACTGATTTGAATAATTATGCCTTGGACTTAGTTTTCACTTAATAACCGTTAACCTTCAAAAGCTCTTTTTGCACAGATACCACTTTAAATTTTGCAAAATGACTGTGACGAATTTAACCAGGTAAATGGGTATTATCATGCAGATAGAGACAGAATTTGAAGAGGATCGAAACTGAGTACAGTTCGAGGAAGAAGTGATATAATCACAGACCAAATAGGCTGTCACTAAACCAGCGTGGTCCTGAGTCCCTTTTACCTCGCCGAGTACAACAAAAAATCTACCTTTGGTTACTAATTATTGATACTCTCATTCTACTTGTTCAAAACTTTGTGGATGGCTCTAATACTTCGAATCACACTGAGACACAATTCAGTGGCAAGTTTTGTTATGAGGTACTTTAAGGGAAGCCTCATTTCCGTGGAATTATGGTCATGTGACTAATTTAGTTGCTTAACAGATACGTTTTCAAGTCATGTACTTCATTACGTGTTATATGAATAATTGATACCAATCTGTTGTCATTAAAGATGGTTTTCAGGTACTTTAAGTCCCAGCTTTTTTTCCCTGCTGGAAGACAAACACATTTTAAATCCACCTTTATGGCCATCGGTGAAAAATAAAAATTTTCCGACAACATTTTTTGGGTTCCTCAGCGTCCCCTTAACAAATCTAAATACTTGGCTTAATTTTTTCACAAAAATAACACGGAACTTTATTTTTTGACATATACTCCCTGAGCATTAACTGCTTTTTTTTTATCCACTCTCGTTAGTGAGTACCTTGTATCGGACAAGGCTTCGTATGTCCACAAACACATTGCTTCATCACAAGCTTGCGAAGAGTCCTGCTCTACTGATATTTCACTATCCTTGATACCGCCTCATCTGGATTCCAGTTAAAGATTAAGGAGGCGATGATATAAAGTGGGATAAGCCTATTCTAAATCAACAGACGAAATATGTAAGACTGTAGCTTAGCTGTTATTTATGCTGTAACGTTTCTTTTTCTCTTCTCATTGTTCCTCTATCACATTTCGATCGCTTTCATTGAAATCGTTGTAATTAGCATATTCAAATCGTAACTACTTCTACAACTTAAGATATTCAAATTCTAACGAGCTTCTACAACTGAAGATGGCATAAGTTTGCCGATACATTTCTTGTAAATTGAAAACTGTTGTGTCATTTCTACAAATCATAACAAATTTTCTACTCTCGCGTCCGTTTGGTGACTGGTTCTACTAAAATGAGCGCCCACATCCCCAAATTTTAGCCTTACAAGCCCTTAACGAGCTGTGTCACGAAATTCAGCCAAATTAGGAAATTACAAAATGCGCGTTAAAGTAAGAGAAACATAAAATAGCCGCTTAAAACTTTAAAGGGAGGTTAAAAACTGGGCAAAACTGAAGAAGATTGAAACGGATTGAAATTAGGGTTTTTGAAAACTGTTCATGCTTGCAACCTCAAAAATAATGCTTCAGGAGACATATTTGTTTGCCTTGGATCTCTGATTTTGTCATTTACATGTAATTTCTTTGCTTACTTTAAGTTCCATAACGATTGAGGGCGAGTAATTGGCAAAATAAAACAAAATGAACTGGACTGCCGTGACACAGCCCCTTTAATTTAAGTTATATGAATAACACTGAACACCCTCTCACCTTAATAAGTGGTATGGCGGGGTATAGATTACATAAAACAGCAGCAGCAACAACACGCGTGAAAGCAACAATTCGCAGGGATATTTCTAGACGTTTTAGCCTTTAAGATCATGTACATTAAACCCTTCATAAGAGTTGTAAAAATTTTGTGACATGGTCCGGCCTTGGAGATGTAATCTGATGCCAACTCATGTAGCCTTTTGCTGTCAAAAGGATCACCATGTCCCGGAAAGACAACATCCACATGATTGGAAAGGTCTTGCACTCTTCTGAAGGTCCGAACGTACGCGTTCACATCACTCTGGGGTAAAAAATCAAGCAGGGGTCCTCGATTGTACACTGTATCTCCACTGAAAAGGATCCTCGCTTTCTCGTCGATCAAACCAATGCTCCCTGGAGTATGGCCGGGGAAGTGTAAAACGCGCAAGCTTCGATTGCCAAGATCGAAAACGTGTCCTTCCTCCAAGACTGTCGACGGCTCGGCGGCTTTAACTCGGTAGTCGGAAAATTTCCATCCTTCGCTCGGGGGTACAGCAAGTGAATCACTCCTTAGGAAAACCCTGGCTATGTCGTATTGGTTACCGTTGCGTATCGCGTCCGCCTCGAGGCTGTGAATGGCGAACTTCTCAAACTGGTGTAGTCCTCCCGAGTGATCGTAGTGCATGTGAGTGGCAACTGCTTGGACTGGTTTCTCACCAATCAGACCCTGTTGTCGCAGAAAGCCTGGCAAGTCCCACAAACCGAGACCAGTGTCGATAACCAAATCCGAAAACGAACCTTGTACGAGCCATATGTTGGGTTGGTTATAATGCGACTCGTAGAACACTTCACGTAACATAAACACGCCGTCATGTACCTTTTCAACGCTGAATGGTTTTTCATCTATTTGCAGTTGTTCTTGACTCATTCTCGTTTTTAAAAGCAACTGTAAAACTAGAATGTTCTGGTGCTCTGATTGTAAACAAACTACTACTTAATCGATCCCATAATGCATAACAGTCACACAATAAAAACCGGATCACGCGATCACCCAATCACGCGATCACGCGAAGTTTTCCAGTCCACGAGAAGTTAGACAACAAGATAAAAAGTACAAAGACAAACAGCAAAGAAAGAAAAAACACACCCGGAAATACGGAATACAAGCTTTAGGCCATGACACACTGTTCAACATCTGTTGATCGACAAAGCAAGAAATTTTGCATCTCAGTCTTGTTTAACAGTGTGTGATGCCTTGTTGAACATACATCACGTTCAACGTTGTTAACCGGAAACAAAGAGATGGGGCCTAGCTATTCGGCTCATTCACTTTTATTTCAATGACAACACCTGGAGGTTTTATCAATGGGAGGTGTGCAACAGCCGATTTTGGTGTATTATTAGTGATCTTACGCAAAAGGACGGCAGAGGAAAGAAGACGGCAAACCTTGTGTGACAAGCGTGACAGTAATTTTGTTTGAAAAAACTTTCCGCTAAACTTCACCCTCCTTTAAACAGATCTTTTTGTTAAAGGCCAGAAAACGGTGATTTTAGGTAAAGATCACGACGAAACATGCAAATAATAGCGGTGTCAAGTTTGTCACACGCAAGCGTTTTGCCCTCCTCCTCTTTTTGCCGTCCTGTTGCGTAAGCTCATGATTAGCTCTCCACCATGACTAATTTCATCATTTCATCATTAGTGATACTGGTGGAAATATCAACATCTCTACTTTACAATAATGATATTATTCTGATGTGCACAGTCGAGGGGAGGGAAGAACATTTCTCCTATGCTGAATTTTCATGGAAAAACAAGCGAATTTTGCTTTCATTAATAAAGCTCGTGGAACAAATTTGAACTCAAGGCTAGAGTAATAAGTGCAGTACTTGAAATAAGTATAATCGCTAGGTGACAGAAGCGTGCATAGAAGCATAACGTTATGGCACTATACTATCATTTCATATTTCATTCCTGTGGAAGGTTAAGATTAACTCAACAATGACCTGCTCCCAATGTATGAGTCTTTAAAGATCAATTCCCAGTTAAAAAAGTTTTTTAACGAGAGGTTCCGTCTCGAGGTCCAACCCCTTCGTATACCTTCTTTTATTGACAACTGGTACCCCTTTCACACTTTGTTTTGAACTTGTATCTCTTTTAACAGCTTTAAATGCACTGTCTATTGCAACTAGTAATAGTTGACACTACAGCTGCCCCCGCTCTGTATATTGTGGGTCAATAGCCGATTCTTGCTCGTTGTGTAGCTTTTTGAAATATACCGATTCATAAGGAAGATTTTCCACACATATTCCATACAATAGGTGATATAAATACAGGAAACGCAACGTTCCATGCACAGTTTCAGGTCGATTTACACAGCTTTGATCAAAACATTCTCAGTTTCGAGAATAGTTTATTCTAAACCATAAGAAAAGAGTTAATTAGAAGTTGAATTTTTCGCTATTTCCCTTTCACTTTTTACATTCAGTTCATTTTATTTGCTGGAAAGGAAGCCTTAGAAATTAAAAATTCACACTGGCGTATTCTAGTCTTATTTTAAACTTTATAACGGAAGGACATCTGTGAGCAGGGAATAAGTCAGCTCATAATTTGATTGCCGGCGAATTCAACTGTAATCGTCCATCGTTCTGCTAGTGAGAAGCTAGCCGTTGTTCACTCGTCTTGCTTGTTTGGGGCTAAGTCTTGTCCCGGTCAAAGAGAGAGAAAGAGTGTCTGGCAAGGTTGGAATGAAAGATTTGTGAACTCGTGTCTGGCAAACTCTCCATGTGTTTATATATACACAGTTATACGCACCTTATAACTTCTTCTGCGCTTAACGAGTGTAGTTAAAATTTTGGTCCATAACTTTTACTGAAACAACTGCTCCACAGAATGACACTGATAATACGTGACGCAAAAGAGTGTCGAAGTATGACTGCACAATATATGTCACAAAATCTACCTAAGAGGTCCCTTGGGGATGTTCTGTCTTTACGTCATCCTAACCATTTCGTACTTGCGGGCGTAAACAATAAAAACGTCATCATTACCTACCGATTCCTCACGGCCCCGGCCTGTTCAAGCAAATCGAGATTTTTTCTATACTGACTGTATGACTGTATATTTCAACTGTAAGTACTTTCCTTAATATACGCGCGAGTAACTAGAGTGCCTCCTCGGGATTTCGCCTTCTGGACGAAATCCCTGCGGGGGCAAGAAATGACAAAACCAGAACTTTTCCGCCACTCTCTCACAGCTATAAAATGCATCTTTTAGCCCCTTTTGGCCTTTTTACCAACCAAAATGACCGATTTCCCTACCCATATATATCAGGTTTCAAAAAGTGAAATTCCTATGTACCAAAACAGGCGCGGATCCACACCGGTTTCCACCGTTTTACGGAAATCGGTCAGATGTTTCATAAATAAATATACTTTTAATAAAAAGACTTTCCAAGTTGAAATCAGGTAAATGGTGTGGTAATATACAGGAGCGAATGAATTGAGAGAGTATTTTGCAAGAGCTCTAGAGCGAGCGGAGCCAGCTCTCCTTATATCAGCTACTGGTTTGGACAATAATGATAACCATTGAAGCTTACCAACAATATCCTGTCTGAATGACTCAGAAACCCAGAAAAGGGGACTTTTGAAAGTTAAAATCCCAAAAATATCCTGGGAAAGCATATACCAGAACCACCCCCCCTCCACCCCCCCAGCCCGTATAGGCCATTTAGGGAGTAACTATCCTCCCCTCCCAACCCAGCCCTCTTCCCGTTAATTTTTCTCTTTCCGCATCCCTATAAAACCATAATAAGAGGTTTTAAAGGGGCCTGTGGTGTTATTTAGCCTATCCTCACTTCACTGAATAGAACACCGCAAGAGACAGTGGGATTACATACATTGTTATTTATTCAAAATATTTCTTAGTTTCTGATTGGCTTAAATCCCCCTGAAAATTCTTCAGAACCAGCAAGCGGTGACCAAATTTGGACGATGTACGATGCCTGCTGATATGAGATCAGCTGACGTCAATTGTACTGATATCGACAGAAAAACGGACATCAGAAGGCGCGATAGTTCAACTGTTTTTGTTGGAGCTGGAGCATTGAAGTGACACATTATACAAGGAAGAAATAGTTCAACTACTACCCAAAAACAGCAAAAGAAGCAATATAAAACGCAACAAATGATAACCACTATTTGATGATGAATAGCTTTAGAATATAGATCCTTCTATCGAGGAACAAGCAAACGGCTATGATGAAGACTTGAACTTTACACGGGTTGAGATATACAAACCTCAAGGTCCTGTATCCCTAAGATCGAGTTCCCGTAATTATTATCCCTTATCTCGATAAACCCTATTCGACATCCTTCCCACTATATAGGGAATTAATATAAGCAATAAGCAAGGGCCCTTAGATCTTACAATAAGGACAAACTTGCCTTTGAAGGTAAAAGAGCATTTGACAATTTCTGATTGTAAAAACACCCCTTTCGTATACCTTTCATCGAAAAATGGTACCCCCAAGCTAAAAAACCTGTTTTTAAACGAGAAGTCTTCAATTCAGGCATTTTGAAAATGATAAATGGTTAGATTCTTCATCTCTTGAATTCAAAAGCTTATGATATGTGTTGGGGGTGGATTACACCAAACAGCAGCAGCAGCAACAAGAGTGAAAAAAGCACTTAGCAGGAATATTACCTGAATTTTTGGCTTTTAAGATCATATAGGAAACGCCCTTCATAAAAGTTGTGAAAATCTTATGGCATGCCCCAGCCCTGGAGACGTAATCTGATGCTAACTGATGTAACCTTCTGCCGTCAAAAGGATCACCATGTCCCGTAAAGACGATATCCACATGGTTGGAAAGGTCTTGCAGTCTTTTGAAGGTCTCAATGTACGCGTTCACGTTACTCTGAGGTAACCAATCAATCAAGGGCCCTGGATAGTATACTGTGTCACCACTGAAAAGGATCCTCGCCCTCTCATCGATCAAACCAATGCTCCCTGGAGTATGACCGGGGAAGTGTAAAACACGCAAGCTTCGATCACCAAGATCAAAGACGTGTCCCTCTTCCAAGACTGTCGACGGCTCGGCGGCCTTAACTCGGTAGTCGGAAATTTTCCATCCTTCGCTCGGGGGTACAGCAATGACATCTCCCTTCAAGAATACTCTTGCTATGTCGTATTGGTTACCTTTGCGTATCGCGTCCGCCTCGAGGCTGTGAATGGAGAACTTTTCAAACTGATGTAGTCCTCCCGAATGATCGTAGTGCATGTGGGTGGCAACTGCTTGGACTGGTTTCTCGCCAATCAGACCCTGTTGTCGCAGAAAGCCCGGCAAGTCCCACAAACCGATACCAGTGTCGATAACTAAATCAGAAGACGATCCTTGCACGAGCCATATATTGGCTTGGTTGAGCGACTCGTAGAACACCTCACGTAACATGAACACGCCATCGTGCACCTTTTCAACGCTAAATGGTTGTTCACCCATTCTGATTTTTTTTTGTTTACGCTCAATTCCTCTCTTCAAAAACAAGAGAGGAATGTTTCTGTCAATTGTAAACAAAAACAGTACTGCTTAAACATCCCATAATGAGCAATAGTCACGCAATAAAAACTGCCTCACACGATCACGCGAAGCACAACAGGTTCGCAAACCTCAGTCAACTTTAATTGTCTTCGTTCTCTTTTCCTGTCCACGCCGACTAATATAACTGGTACAGAACGCATTAAGAAAATTAACGCGAAACTGATATGAGAGGGTAACATTTCAAAATGAAGGAAATCAACGCGACGCTCACAAAGAAACAAAACTTGTTGGGACAACAGGAACATTGTTAAACGCACAATAGAAACTTATTTTAACTACTTTCTTTCCCCAACGGGGGTCAAGCGAAAAGTCAAGAAATCTGGCCACTGCGAAGGTTCTTCACAACTCTAATGATACTTCTCTTTCGTTGGTGACAACAAAGTCTATCGAGAGTTTCTTTCCAAAACAATGGAAATTCAGATCGCAGAAATCAACGCTCCACTTAATTAACGAAGAGGAAATGAGCGTTTACAAGAATTAACGCGACTTGAATTTAATTCGCGTAATTTTTATGATGCGTTAATTATTATTGATAATAATGATAATGAATACAAGCTGGTGGAATCTGCTCGTGAAATCAAGTATTATGCCATATTGAAACCAAGATATTGTTGGAAAAATTATGCCCGGCTGGAGGTATTTTAGCTCCTTAATTATGCCAGATTGAATTGAAACTGTTTCCTCCCTCTACCCACCGAATAAACATTTACACAGATGTCCAAAACATCTGAGATGTTTTTGATATTACCTTCAGATACAGGACATGTTATATAGTTTGTGCCTTGCAATTAACGACCTGGCATAATAAAGAAAACCTAAAGCCGTAAAAATAATACAGCTTTAACTATAATTCAGACTGTTCATCGCCACATACCCGTTTAGGGCAAAGAAGGAACTGCTTCCCCGCCCGGGGGACGGGGAGAAGCGGGTACTCAACAAATTTTCATACAGGGAGGCTCCGCCTGGAGGTCCAACCCCTTACCCTTTTATATACACCATTTTTCACGAAAAAGGTACGCCTTTCGTATGCCTTCTATTGACAAATGGTAATCCTTTCACATATCGTGTTTAGAACTTTACATTTCTTTGAATTGCTGTAAATGCATTGTCATTTAAATAGGAATCAATAAAAAAAGAACATTTTCCCGACTTTATAAAGCCATAAAATTCATCCGTTCGGCCCTTTGAGCCCTAACACAGACCCAAATGACAAATTTCCCTACCCCTTTATATACTTCAACCAGTAAAAAGGCTCCCAAACCTATTGACTCGGAGGCCATGAGGGCGAGAGGAATAATTGTTTAAGTAAAATCCAACTAGTTGGTCAAAAATATCGAGACAAAACAACTTTAGCTTGCAAAACGCGATTTATCCGCCATTGTTTAGGTTTTCAAAGCCCGGCACTTTTCGCTACTAGTGGGCTATAACATATAGCCTAGTAGTAGCTCAACCAATCAGAACGCAGCATTGATAATAGACCACTAGTTGGATTTTACTTAACGTTGTTATCTCTTGAACAACGAATGCTGTCACACTTGTTGGTCAACAAATGTTGAACTATATGCCCATGGATATCATTTTTATGACTCTTCAAATCCCGATACTTCATCACCAGGCCCCTTCCAATTTCCGAAAGGAAAGTCTCGACTCGTTCCCAGGTTCTCTCTCCTACTCTCGCTCCGTAAGGACGGGAAGGAGAGAACCCTGGGAACGAGGTCGGGGAAAAGCCCTAGAAGCGAGGTGGTTGTTAGCTCAGGCAACTACTTCTACCTGAAACTACCCACCTACCCCTCCCCTAAGCCAACATTAGGGAGCTTAAGCAACAAAGACGGCGACGGCTACAAAAACGTCACTTAAAAAGTGAATTCGCACCGCTTCAAACTTTATCGCGCTCATTCCATCTCGTTTACTTCGTCAAATGTTGGCAAATGTTTTTGCAGTTGAATTCTGAAAGATTATATCAAAGTTCAGGACAAGAAAAGAAAGTTGTTGTCTTGTGTTCCCGTACTCGACAAAACGTGAATTCAGGCATTTTCACGTTGTAGTCGGGCAACGACGGCAAAGCATTATTTGCATTATCGCAAAAGGGCACATTTACGAGCCGCATGACTAACGTTTTCTTTGGTTATGGGGGGTCGTTACTTGGTTTGGCAGGTAGGCGGCTAAAAATGTGGCTTCGTTCTAAGCTTTGCAAAGAAATTTTTGACATTTGCTTACCGGTAAAGTTGTTATCGTCAGGAAGCCTGGAAGCGCTTTCAACCTAGCTATTCGCATTAGAGGTTCGTGTGATAATCAAGGTTAGAGCGATATATTGCGTTACGTCACCTATCGATAATTATTAGTCAACCAGGGCTTCATTTGCTCTTTGAAACAATGGGTATTTTTGTTTCAGTGGTTGGTACATTTGAATCACAAAGACAATGTTTACAACTAGAAATATCGCTGTTGTAAAAGGCGGTTGACCTGCACCGTTCTAAACGTCTTATTTCATTAGTCCTCTTTAATCTGCACTATCCATTGTTTTAAGGGATAGGGGCATTGTTATGTCACCATCTCCATTGTTTTCCCAGCCAATCTCAAACAATCTTTCAAATAGGTGCAGAACGCCCCATAAAGGAAAAATTGAAAATTTGCAATGCTAATAAACCTTTGCCCATAAATCCACCAGAGCTGCGATGTTTGTGCTTTAATTTCCATAAAAACGTTATAAGCGACGAAACAAAAAGATCTGTCACCTAAACTGGACAGATATACAGTGGGAAACTCCCTTACGGCCACCTCGGTAACACGGTCATCTCGTTATTACCACCACTCTTTTTTGGCCGCCCGTCAAACCTTTTCCTGTAAAAAACCCTCTTTAATACGGTCACCCATTAACACGGCCAATTTTTTTGGCCCATTGGTGACCGTCTAGCTGATTCAATAAAGATTGCTTTGGGTATTGGTAATTGGGCACTGGGAATGTATTGTTTTGTGGTCACTCAAGCAAATCATCGTATTGTTCTGTATGCGCAAACGCCCAATGCCCTATTGCCAAAGCAACCTTAATTGAATTAGGTATATGTAATTGATTTACTTTATACAAGTGATATCCCACAGAATGATAAGCCTAGAAATTATGAGACTCTACGGTTCGGTTATTTAAACGAAATCTAAGTAAGACCGCGATATAGGAAATCTTTGGACCTCCAGAATCTCCTCTTCAGTAGGTTATTTTAAGAGAACAAATGCTTTTCTAGTCTACGCCATATGCTTCATGAAATTGTTCACAATAAATGTTGTTTACAGAAAAGCGTTCGTCAAACTGAAAATGGCTTAGAACGCGGTTTCGTTGAACATTGGCTAAACTCCGTTTAAATAACTGGCCCCTACATGTTTACCCATGACCCAATCGTTCGGGGTGATTCAGGAGTTCTATTGTATGCAACCTCATGTCCTGAGCTGTTTCCCTAAGAAGATAGGAAGGACGGTAGAGGGGGCGGGGGGAGACCTCTCATTTTCTAAGAGGAAAAGCCCTGGCAACGAGGCTGCATTGTATGCAGGGAGGAAATAAACTTAACACCTTCTAGCTCTTCGTGAGAGGTGTGGTGGGGTATGTATAGACTACAACAAATAGTAAACAGTAGCAGAAACAGCTAGAGTGAAAACGGCAACACTTAGCAGGGAAATTACTAGTGAGAATTTTTGGCTTTTCAGATCGTATAGGAAACACCTAATCTTGTACTCAGATCTCCCGCGGCCAAAAAGCGTAAGACAGAGTGAGATCTGGGTACGAGACTAGGAAACACTCTTCATACGCTCAAGGATTAAGTGGGTCTGCTTAAATGAGCGCCTAGATCCTCAAAGTTTAGCCTAACAAGCCTTAATCATTATAGTATAATATAATATTTCTAAAAACCCTCTGTTTATAAGGGGTGCGATGAGCGTAAATTACTTAAAACAGCAGCAGCAACAACACGAGTGAAAGCAACAATTTGCAGGGATGTCACCAGACGTTTTAGCCTTTAAGATCACGTAAATAACACCCTTCATGAAAGTTGTAAAAAATTTATGACATGGCCCGGCATTGGAGATGTAATCTGATGCCAACTCATGTAACCTTCGACTGTCAAAAGAATCACCATGTCCCGGAAAGACAACATCCACATGGTTGGAGAGGTTTTGCAGTCTTCTGCAGCTCTGAACAAACGAGTTTACGTCACTCGTGGGTAAAAAGTCTATCAGGGGATTCGATTCGTAGACTGTGTCTCCACTGAAAAGGATCCTCGCTTTCTCGTCGATCAAACCAATGCTCCCTGCAGTATGACCGGGGAAGTGTAAAACGCGCAAGCTTCGATTGCCAAGATCGAAAACGTGTCCTTCCTCCAAGACTGTCGACGGCGCGGCGGCTTTAACTCGGTAGTCGGAAAATTTCCATCCTTCGCTCGGGGGTACAGCAATATCAGCATTCCTTAAGAAAAACCTAGCCATATCGTATTGGTTACCGTTGCGTATCGCGTCCACTTCGAGGATGTGAATAGAGAACTTCTCAAACTGATGTAGTCCTCCCGAGTGATCGTAGTGCATGTGGGTGGCAACTGCTTGGACTGGTTTCTCGCCAATCAAACCTTGTTGTCGCAGAAAGCCTTGCAAGTCCCACAAACCGATACCAGTGTCGATAACTAAATCAGAGGACGATCCTTGCACTAGCCAGATGTTGGCTTGGTTAAGCGCCTCGAAGAACACTTCACGTAACATGAATACGCCATCGTGCACCTTCTTAACGCTGAATGGTTGTTCATCCATTTTGATTTGTACTTTGTCGCTACAGAAGCAATCGTGAAATCGTTCTGCTCTGGATGTGCTTATCCCATAATAGAAAACATTACAAATAGTCACGCAAGAATAACTAGATCACGCGATCCTGACAACCTTGGAAAGTTTTTGAAATTAGACCAAACGATTTAATCCAAAGCTAAGGTTGTTAACTTACTTTTGTCACTTTTCAAAATAAACCTGATCATACCGAACCCGGCAATTTTATCGTAAATTATGTATGAAACTTGGTGGATTCCGGCAAGTGTTTGAAAACTGTTGTTTAGGTGACGGCTAAATTTGCAATAATCTTAGTCTATAGACAAAAACAAAACAAATTAACTGCTACATTAAAATAACTAAATTTTGTATATACAAAACTAAAATTTAGCCAATAATTGATTTATACGAAGTGGGTTTGCTGATTTATTTTTTGGGCTGCAAAGTCACTATTGCAAATTTTTCACTCACATTTGCACCTGTTTGAAAACTGCGGTGCAAATGAGAATCTGTTATACGGAATAATATTTTAATGGTAAAACAAAGAACAGGGAAATTGAATACTGATCTATTTTCCTTTTCAAATCAGAAAGATCTGAAAAATCTCTCCTACTCGATTACAATGGGAAATAACAATAAACTAAAAATAAAAAATGATAATAAAAAATAATTAATAATCAAGACTGTAAAGGAGTCGGAAGGAATATTTTGCTTTTCAGTTTTACACAAAGCAGACATACAGAACCACTCAAAAGTGTTACAACTGGACGTTTTATTTCGTTGGGAAAAAAGTTGAAGGCCCTTCACATTGCGAGGATTACATAAAGTACGTCACATAAGCCACACAAAGCGACTCCTTTTGTTAATTACAATCTCCAATAAAATTATTCTCGTCATAGGTCATTATTTTTACAAATAAGATTCACAGAACATAAGTCACGTTAGGTTTGCTTCTTTGACGCTTCATTCAAGTGAAGAAACTTACACAGTATTTTTCGAAATAAATCCCGTGAAAATCTGGGAAAATAAATACGTCACATTGTTTCACGCTTGCATTCACTCGTTCTGCGTCAATAAATAATTTATAAAAATATGTCAAACAATTCTTTAAATATATTAAACCACGTCTTCAAAAATAAGTTAAATTATTAAATAACCAAGAGTTATATATTAAATTTAAATCCACACCGATACACTCCAAATTCTAATGATATTTCGTCCACAGTCGTGAGAGAATTAATTTTTTTTAGCTTGCCCATTGAAATGAAAGGTGTTGGACGAAAAATGGCAAAATGTCGCCAAATAATTCTCTTTAGAACTTTAACGATAAATAGTTTTTTAAGAGAAACTTTATCACTGAATTCCCTATCCAGAAGGCGCTTTGGAATTTGCATCCTTAAACCATAAAATGATTGTGTTCAGTTTCTTCAAGAATCATTTCTCACTTGAGTAGGTAAATATAAAACCTGCGTAAGAGTGTTTTATCTCAGCTACAGACATATTTTAACCACAGCTCTAGGTGTTCGGCAAACAGGCAGAAAAAACCTTCCTTTTCGTGTTATAAATATTACATTAATCTACGCCTCTCATAAAATTTAACAGTTTAAAACACTCGTCACAGTTTAACGTCAGTTAAGGACGAACAACGCAAATGATACTTCACCAAATGTATGACTTAAACGCCGTCTTTTTTTCGATTGCTTTCTGTTTTTCCTTCGGTGATGATCTTTGCTATCTTCACACACGTTTGATTTCGGCCACTCTTACTGGATTGACCAGCTTACTTTGAAATAAAAACATTTAAATACCTCCTTTTTCAACATAGAAAAAAACATATGTATGATTGACACTTTAGGGATGCCCGCTTAAGTTAAATTTGTACATGGCAAAGGAAATGTTTTCTTTCGAGTCTATGTTACGTCGTAAAATTTACAAATTTTGAAGATTTTTCTTAAAAATGACTGTCATATTAAAGAAGAGCTATTTACAATGAATGACAGGTAGTTCTAAGAACACTTAAAATAAGTTAACCTTTAATTTTGGGCAATACCACATTGAACATATCCCATTACAACAGCTAGATTGAATCTACTTGTTAAAATCCTCGAAATATAAAACTTACAAAAAATCGAAAAAGAGAAAAATTGTTAGGTGCGGACAAAAGAATTTCTTGTTTTGCCATCTTTACACTAAAGCACAACGAAGATTGGAAACAATGAAAGAAGAATGTAGCAATGGCCGTTTCAATTTTAGAAAGATGAATGAGGTATTTCAATAATGACCATGTTTATGATGGGTATGTTGAATGTGGTATTCTTGCCACAAAATTAAAACTAATCGCTTAAATGGTTATTCCTTTACTTAATCGGCGGTAAAAATTGTCCACCCTCAGTGACAGTAATGTCTTCAGTTCTCTCTTCTTCAATTTCTTTTGCTTTATTCGCGGTCCCCGGCTTCTCCTTTACCACCCCGGACGAAATTCTTTTGGTCAGCGGTGGCACAGAGCTCTTTGATTCTATTCCAGTCGCTTGTTGCTTTACAATGTTGTTGTTGTCGTTGTTGTTGTCGTGAGGGACAGTATGCGTCGCGTCCGCTCCGATTGGTTGCAGTCTTTCCCGCGTTCGAGCGCTTCGTTTGGTCCAGCCGCCTTCAATATGCGGTTTACTGGATTCTGCGGTACTTGCTTTAGTCGTCGTCTCTGAGGAGTTATGCGTGTCGGAATGGGCCTGGTGTCGAGATGTCAAGCGGGACATACCGCGATGTCTCTGCCGACCCTGAAATACACAGTTTTAAAACTAGATTGAGTGTAATGTTGAGAGCAGATGCTGAGCAGTAAAACATTATCTGAAAAACGATGAACTGGCAAAAGTTTCCCTAATTACAGACCCTTTTATTGGTTCAATGTAATAACTGTGAGATAACGGACTACAAGGGATTCCTAAAATCACGAGTTCTTTGTGATTTGGGTCTTTATTGGCCAGTTTACTGTTATACGAAAAAAATAAGCAACTGCGAAACTTAGCGTAATTAGAATGATGCAATGGGTGTATTATAAATTGAGTGCTGGCCATTTCTGCTAAAAATCATCCTGACACAAAAATCACCTACGTAGGGATAGGACCCCCCCTCCCCACGGAGCCACAGGACACCCAAAGAGTAGTGTGCCGCTGGCCTGGGGACTCGCAGCAATTAGATTGATGATACATCGTCGCAAACGAAACTACTGGATTGACAGACTTAAATATACGCCCTTTTTTGTGTACCTCTTGAATCCACTCGTGCTGAAACGCTTCATCAGGCGTTAAACGAGTCGACGGATCCCAGCTAAAAGAAATGAAAAATAACGATTAATGACAAAATTAATAATAATCATATGATGATGACGATGATGATGATGACGATGACGATAATGATGATGATGATAATGTTATGAATCCCAGGGCAAACCACTTCCCTAAAAATGACAGAGTACCCCTCTCTGGGGTAGGGGGGAGTTTAGCCCCCTCACAACAGATTTAAATCAAAAGACGGTACTCACTCAAGACAACGATGAAGGAAGTCCACAAATAACGCATCACTTGTTTTCAATGCTGCGTTGAGTTCCTTGCCGTTTACTTGGCGTTTCTTTCCTTTTGAGTTGGTCATACTACGCGGGTTGCCTTTCGAATCTACAAATAAAAAAATAAACTCTTGTTAACTTTCAAGAACATTTAGATAAGGAATCTTTATTATGAAAAACAAACTCGTTAGTCTCAGAAATGTGATCAGGAGCCAATACACAAAATATATTGGTCATGTTTGCCGCGGTCCTAACACTATGTTGACAAAAACGATGTTATTTGCGATGTCGAATTGTCCATGTTAACGCGATCGTTGGATAAACATCGCTAAACTATTAAATGTGTCTATTGAGCAAGCAAAGAGGTATACGAAAGATAACAGTGGTTTCGCTGTATTGGTTGACCGTGTAGTCTCCATGGTAACATGATTACTGATTACTGACTGCCCCCCCCCCCCTCCCCTCAACATTTTGCGTAACCTTTGTTTTTTGGCGTTGTGGCGAAAACGTGAGTATTTAACTTTCATTTCAATCAGGTTTGTTGCGTTTAGCAACCAAAATTTTGCAGATTATCGTTCTTAAATTGTCCTTGTTTTCTTTGAGGCACATTTCAAGCTCGATTACCAAGCCATGTTATCTAAACTTACATCTTTGAATCTTTCTGTGTTTTCATGTCACA